TTTTTGTATTCCATAAAATACTTCCATATCCTCTGTTTTGCCTTTTTCTACAGCTTAAACTTCGATTACGATTAAATACCCCCTTTCTACTTTAAATTTTATCAGCATCCGGACACTTGTGTAGGTATAACTGTGTATTTTGGTTTTCCACTTTTTATCTATTAAAATGGCTATTCCACTATTGGCTCTTTCATTTGAGGTTTTCAATTGTAAATCATAACATAATGTTCTAGATCTTTTGCTCTTTTGCACTTCATCTTTGTTTCTGATATTACGGCTATATTATTCTTTTTTTAAATGAAGTTCATTTTCACGTTACTTTTCTTTTTTTATTACTCTGACACTCCCATCTAATGTTTATCGTGTATTCCCAGTCGTTTGCCCTTTTTCTTGCAATAGTCGTAAACTCTGTGATCTTAAAAATGATTTTGATAATTTGAGCTTTCCCACACTGAATAGTTTATTTCGAGATATAGGTTGCAGGGAAGATACTTGGATTCAGGAAATGCCGAGAGGAGGGCGTATGCAGGGAAAGGTGCTCTTTCTGCCAAAGCTTAATGTGTTGAGCCTTCATGTAAAGTACCCTTAAAATCAAAACATCCTTTCGAAGCTTCGAGTTCGTTCAGATGGAAGGAGGAATATCTATTTTAGGACAGGCAGAGTGATGCTTTGCCGTCTATCGAATTATCGGTAACAAGTGCCCACAAAACACGGATTTTGACTTAAATACGTGATTAGAGGAAGTAATTTACTATCTCTCTCTCTCTCTCTCTCTCTCTCTCTCTCTATATATATATATATATATATATATATATATATATATATATATATATATATATATAAGAGGATTTATAAATTTTTATAAATATAAGATAAAAGATAATATAACATAAAAGAGGATTTATATATTTTTTCCTTACCAGGGCCCGACGATAAGAGCTTTTCCCGAAAATTCGCGCACAATTACACCTTTTCTCATTACATAGTATAGGTGAGAAAGTAAAAAGAACAATGTGATAGAAATCAAAGGAAAGGAAATGATTCGCTCAAAATAATCATTGAAACTGCATAATATAATAAGTAACAAACTTTAAATATCTTGAATGTATTGTACTGGCCTTAAACAGAATGATATGCTAAAGAAAATAGAAATATTTATATATTTATTAAAAATTAACTAGTTGATTTGGATTCAATTTTTCATTTGGAAAGTGAAGCTGCATCAACAAGAAATTTATTAACATATTAATTAATTAAATGCATCCTTAGCATTTGCAAGTGAACAGAGGGCACCTTTACAATTTCGTTAATTAATTAAATGATTTTGTTTTTAATTAAACAAAGTGAGCACATTATTTTTAATCATTCAGCTTAATCACTCACACGCAGTTTCTTTAATTTTTTCCAGTCTAATAGTTTTAAAATCTTAAACCTCTAGTGGGGACATGAATTAATCGCATCTTTTATATGTTCGTGCTTCACCAATAGATTCAACATTTGCATTTATCGAATTGACGATATAATAGCCCTAAAATTGGTGACGTTTAAGGCGCTTTGTCGAACTTTAAAATGTGTAAATGGTAAAAGCAATGTCATTAGGTTACAGTCAAATTCGTGTATTGAATTCGTCCTCTTGGTAGAAAATATTAATTCGTTACAGGTTTAATTTGTAATGCCATTTTTAATGTGATTTTATTTTGCTTGCACTATTAATATCGTGCCCTACAACGATTCCTTCATGAGAGGGGTAAGAACATTTGAAATTTTTACCAGAATTGTGATAAATCGCAATTCTGTCTCATTCAATTTGTTTGAAATTCCGTTATACATAGTTGCCGTATGAAAGAAATTGTTACTGCAATGATTCCACGGAACTACCAATACAAATTACGTCTTGTTTGTTAGTTTTTTTCCGAAGAGATGGTAAAGACAATCACTTTGTTCAGAGGCACAGGGTATCGCCTCGGTGCCCTACCGAGTCCGCGATTTCACCTCATCCCTCGGCTTAAAGCGTATGAAGCGAACAATCGAAGTGAGACATTGCAACCCTCTCTTTTCAGTATATTTGTGTGCGGAGAGCGAGTGGAATGACTGATGCAAAAACTGGGGGTGATTATGAGATGCTAACTTATAATAACCAATTCAATATCTCAAAACGGAAGTTGATAGCCCCAATGGGATTGAGGAATTTTGTATTGCGTTTAAGGGGGATTTAGAGGAGACAATAAAAAAATTGCAACATTGCAGATTTATAAATAATTTCCAACTTTTACAGGTCTAAAGAGACTAGATGTTCCAGAGCCGAAAATCGCGAATTAACAATTTTGCAACAATTTACAATTCGAAATATGCGCTTGAATGGCTGGAAAGGATCCGCAAATTGTGCCTGAGATGAACGTTTTTAAAATCACAGTTGGACAGAGTTACAAATTGATTCCTAAAAGATATTATATTGGTTGCAAAAATGCTAGGTATTTACTGGTCCTTTGACAGTAATTCTGAACGGAAAATACAGTTCAGAAATAGTTTTTCGTTATGGCGTACGCACAGACAAAATCTCTCCTTCGGCAGGGAAAGATAATATTTCCGCCTCATACGTAAACAATCAAGGCCCCTGCCCTGCAGTAGTTTGCGCCAATCACATAGGCACTAAGATTCTGACTGTAGCGATTGGTCAACGCGCCCCCTCGCGGATCGAAGGATGTCCATGTTTGAATTGTTGGGAAGACAGAATTTCACCCGCCAGTTATTGTGGGGAGAACTTTAGATAAGAATCCTGTCTGATCACCTGCACCCATTCATGTCCATTGATGGACTTAAGCAATTCCAGGAAGACACTGTGACAGCCCACACGTCCGGAATTGCTAAATCGTGGGTCCAGGAACACTCTACTGAATTTAATTTTGTGCTGTTCAGAAGAGATCTTCACCCCCTCGTACTCTTACGAATTTATGGGCAGCCCTGTTGGATTAATGGTATCAAATACATCCAGCACTACTTCAGTCCCTTTTCGGGTCCATGCCATGTTGTGTTGCAACACTTCTGCGTGCTCGCGGGGGTTGTACTCGATATTAGGTAGATGTATCAGTTTTTTGGCTCTTCAGATTGTTACTTTAAGAATATTAAACAAGAGTAAAACGTCCTAATTGGCAATTTTCTTTGAAGAATTTGGAACCGTTTTTAAGAAAGTGGCATTTAAGCGCTACTGTAAAAGTGAAATTTAAACCTCTTTTCACACAAAACTATAAAGTTTTTGGAAAACTTCATATGAAGTAATTTCAAGCACTTCCGGTCACACATACCATAGTGTCTACAAATCTGTGAAAATTTGCAAATTAAAGGCGTGAGAGATATTTAAAAAAATACATTTGTGAAATTATTTAAACTACAAATGAATACAGAAATATTAATTCTCTGTCACCTTAAATAATGGAATGTGCACTATCTGTTGGAAAAGTTAAAAGACAAAATGTGGAGAGGTAATTGAGAAAATGGACTTGAGTGTTTTTTTTTTTTAATGAGGAATTTTGAGCTCATTTTCAGATAAAACTTTTGAGTTTTCGAGAAATTTTAAGTGACATTATTCAAACTACTTGTACTCATAAATACATTGGAAATAATAAAAACTAATGTAAATATTACGTCGTGAGAGACATGTCATAATAATTACATTTTTGCATTTTTAAACAAAAGAATAGAGCAATTTGGCTATTATGTCATTTTAGAGAGTGCATTTTTTACTATCCCTACCAAACGTTTAAAGAAAAAATTTGAATCCGTTTTTGAGAAAATTTGTTTTTGTAATTTTTTGCACGCATTATTGCTCCAAAATTACATGCTTTTTTTAATTTACACGCCCTTAATAAAAGGACAAATTATGGACAACAAATGTTATGTAAAGGAAAAATGTCTATCTTGAATTTTGTAGTTTTTGGTTGACGCGAAAAAATTCAAACTTTTGGAATTTTCGAAAATTTAGAGTTAACCAAGAAAATTGATCCTATGCACCTTTATAAGTGTGTTTCACGTTTGTTCTCACAAGACATTTAAAGAAAAAGATTGGAGTCATTTTTTAGACAATTTTGAAAATATCCCATGGTCTTTACATAAAGTACCCCCAAATTTTGAAAAATGTTTTTCAAAATCTGAAAGCCTACGCATGGTTTAGGGGCTAGTGTTGTTCACAGACGGACGGGCATACACACAGCCAGACGGATGTTATGAAGAAAACACTTTTTCGGTATCGGGGACCCCGAATTTTTTCCGTGTATTTCCGTGAAAATCTCGAAATCGAATTTCCGCAGCATTACATAACTGTCCCTATACTACGCATATTACTCCGTATTTACGTACGTGTACCGGAAATTAAAAAAAAGGCGGTAAAAACTTAACTTAAGAATACAAATCGTATTACTATATAAGTAATTTCATTAGATTACTATGAATAGAGCTATTTATCAACTCTGCATAATGTACTATGACCAACCGATAAAAAACTTACTCTGAATACAAACGGAAGTTAGCGTTTTTGCAAAGAATTGATAATATTCGCCAAGCGAATGCACATAGTTTTTTCAAAGTTGCGCTTTCAACAGTGCGTTGCTCTCTTCTGTATAATTTGCTGGAAATACTGTATCAGTCAAATGTATTTCTGTTGTTTCATTTATTACAGTAAGAAATAATTTCTGCTCCTGACTATTGAAGAGAATGCAGATATGCATCAAAGGCCCTTTGATTTTGAATTGGATGATTTCAAGTATTGGCTGAGGTGTTAGTGGCGCAGAAAATGCACTACTTCGCTATAACTTCGAATAACGTGAGAAAGTATGTGCTGTTGTAGCACCACAAGTTAATTTAAAATTAGTACTAATTAAATTACTAATAATTCATTTAATATTAATTTAAAAATAATAATGGAATATTAAAAGTGAAATTGCCTTCCCCTGTAATACTTTTTGATCCTGGGGTGTTAAGCGCCTTCGGCCTAGCGCAGCCCTCACCTGCAAGTCATGGTTCATGACGGGCTGATCACCCGTCGCCCTCGCCCAGCGCGCTGTCCCGTTGCTGGAGACCGCTCGGCCGTCTGCGGTTCCCGGCTGCGTTGGCGCCACTGGGAAGCAGGCGCGCCGGCGGGCGACGCGGCGCGACGGGGGGTGGGGTCCGCCGGGGCGTGGCGGTTGGAGCGCGGCGCGCCGGGGAAGGGGGCGGGGCCGGGGGCTGGACCGGGCCAGACTGGGCCGGGCCGGCGACGCCACGCCACGCCACGCGCAGGGAAAGGAAACACACAAGGATAAAGGAAGAGGGGAAGAGGGGAAGAGGAAAAGGAAAAGGAAGAGGAAGAGGAGGTAGCGCTGAAAATAACTAGATGGAGGATCGTATACGTCGTCGAGGTCAATGGTACAGCAGCGGTGGGAGTAAATGGCGATGGCGGAAATGGGGGCATCAGGCTCGTAAGTTAAAGTAGAATAAAAACGGTATCAAAGGCAATGGCATCAATGGCGGAATGTGGAGACTGTATTCTGATTTAAATCTTAAGCAAATTGACTGAGATCAGCTGGAAAGCGAAAATCTAATCAGGAGCTCCGATACAACTTACATTTCCGGTATTAATCTCCTGATTGGATAATCACATTCCAGCGAACGTAAAGTCGATTCGCCCAACATTAAAATCGGAATATAATATTGAAGTAATTGAACAAGGGTTCCGAATAGAAGTATCTCCCTGGGTGACGCTGGGGTTGGAGCGCTGGCCGAAATAAAACAGCCGGCTGGGATGCGAGTTTGTTTATCCGCGTAGATCGTAGATGATTCACGTGATTGTGGCTTCTCACACCACAAAGTATCGCATCTGAACGCATTCGGTTCATTAACATTCACTTCTGTTTGTCATTCACATCTATCACTATCCACTTACAGGAAGGTAATGACAAATTATTTGATCATCTGCCCAGGAAAAGCGAGTGTAGCAAGGCCTCTTCCATCGCCTGTGCTTGTCAAGCGAGCATGAAATTCAATATTACCAAAAGCATGGTGTAGGTCTCCAAAGTGTTGAAGTTCTGAAGAGCTGAAGTTCTTCCAAATCAGTCTTCGTAGCAATGACAGACCCCACTTGAAAATGAGAAACCGAATACTAAAAATAGGAGTGAAAATAGGATAAAGAAGAAGAAAAACCCACTGTAGGTTGAAAGCAGTTGAAAGTAGGTTGAACCTCCTTTTATTTCGGCTATGTATTTATATCTCAGCTTCTAGATCCGTATTTCATTTATGCTTGGATAGTTAATATAAAATATAATAACTTTAGAAATGTTTTTAAATTGTAAAGGAAAAATCTTGTATTATCTACAGCATGTATACTACGTTAATTACTTAGACAATTTATGCCCCATATTTTTTATGTCGTCACCAAATGAGGAAGTTTTTATGTGTTTGAATTCATGAATAAATACCTCCTTGTGGCTCACGTTTGTTTGTAAAATGAAAGTTTTCCAGTGTAACAAGTATATACAGCAGTAGTCTGGATGGCCGAGATCGTTAAGGCAATAGTGACGTGGCGATCTCGAACTGAAAACTGAAGGATCGCGGGTTTGAGTCCCGCCTCGGGCATGGTTGTATTTGTGTTTGTCCTTTCTCACCATATCATATCACCTTCATAGTTACTATAACGTTAAATCCAACAGGAGTCGCTAATGACCTAGATGTTGATGCGATATTAAATAACAAAAGAATGTGTATAGAGCTATAAATGTAAAACACAGTTTACATCTATAATACATAAACAAGCTCTTCCACAACTTTTCTCCAATAGATGGGAGAAAATTTCTGTCGTCTATGTCTTCTGTAGAGAAAGGCAATAAAATTGTTCATTCGTTTACGACGCACGTTTTTCGTTAAGACTTAAATAACAATTTAAGACTGAACATTCAGAAATTAACTGCTAAATGGAAACGTCAGGAATGAAATTGTCTTTTGGCGCAACCCGTTATTGTAGCAGTCTTTGTTAAATAAACATACGACGTAAGAGTTCTTACTTACCATCTTTGGGCAAAATATTGTGGTCATTGTTATTATTATCACTTCATTATAATCCTAGTTGATATACATGTTCTTATGGTTGGGCATCGTCGGTCTACATGACAAAGAAACCAACACGGAGCTGACGCTGAAGTGTATTTGCCTACCACAGAAAGTGAGTTGATGTGAAGAGTAGAGTGGAGTTAATTCTAGAATTATTGGATATTATGGAGACAACTCCATAGTTATAGATACTTCTCGACCATTGATTTGTATTGTTACCGAATACGAAAGAATAATTGATAGAAATTAATGTGCAAGCACAAACACCAAGTACAAATGGAGACTCGAACAGGAGCAGTTAGGAACTTTCCTCATAGAGATTTAAAAGTTGTTTTTCATTATCTCAGGTTTGGATATAAGTGGACTTGCAACCTCATTTTAGTGAGTTCACTAACTCATTTATTCACGAAAAGCAAATTAACACTTGTAAATTTTTGCATGAGATGTAGCATATAAGGCATTACCAAACAATAATGGGCAATATGGAAACAATATTGGAAACACGCAATATTGCATGCGCATGTAACTTTATCAATGCAACTTTAGTTTTCAAATAGAAAGGGTATAAACTTTTTAGATCAAACTTAATACATATAATACACGTTAATTTTGATTCTGTTAATTTTGAAAAAAAACCAATATTACATGCTCTTTTCAACAAATATAAAACTGAGATAAAATAATTTCGTTAAAAATGTGAAGCACTCGTATTGTGTTGACGTACTGAAACACCTGTGATTGCAATAAAATTTCATCACTTTAACTAAATTCCGTAATATTATGTGATACTACGAGTATGTTACAATCCAATGTTACCAGGGCAAAGGCGCAAGGAAAACCGTACTATTAGCCTTGATAAACTGCACTCCTTAATTCCAAAGTGACATTTACGTTCAATGCTACGAAATCGGCCTAAGAACACGTGAAAAAGTATTCGATAGTAACAGGAAGGCGACAAGTGGACGTGACCGCAACCACGAGGTCACCTTGAGGTCACCCGGCGAGGTCAGCGACCGGCAATAGCAGCAGTTGGCGAAGAAAAACTGGTGGCCATTGTGGTTACAGTGATGACTGCATTGGGGGACAAGTGGAGTGGCAGGAGTTACACCAGTGGAAAGCAAAACGGAACAGGATAAAATCGCGATTTAGCAGTGGCGGCGAGACGCAGAGCAAGAGATTACAAAATGTACTGCAAGAAAGAATGAACCTTTTCAGGCAACATTTGTGACAGCAGCCGTTCTACGTGAGAATAAGATTTTAAACCCGGCGTACAGCATGGATGTTTTCACGTTGTAGTTATGGAAATATTAGGCCAGAACAAAACTATGACGTTCTCTATTCACTAATCATATAATGTGCAATGAAAGAGCCATTAACCATATACCACTAGAGCAGATGTTCCCGAACTTACGATGCCAGGGGATCCGTAAAAGATCCCAGGGAGATCACACAGACCTTAGGGGATCCAAACAGACCACTTTGGGAACGTCCGCACCAGAGGAAGGAGAGGAAGAGGAGAAAATATAGTAGGTAGCCGAAGCAGAAGGGAGAGTTTCCAGTGATGGCAAGAGTAACATGAAGTTGGCGAGAAACTTGGTTGAGAAGGAATATAAAGAACCAAGAATCCAGATTTGGATATGACTGACGTATTGACAGCGACGAAAAAATTTGTTGTCCAGGAAAAGGTTTAACTCTTAAGTAGTCGCACCCGGATTTGTAGCGATTGCATGGTGGACTATGTACACCATGTTATAAACGAATTTGACAAAATATGTTAACCAAAATCACAACAACTAAGGCATTTATATAACTTAGTTATCTATAAATTCAATATATTTTTTAAAAAATGTTCAATTATATTTTTATACGAACTGAATTATTGTGTGGCCCTACGAAGTACCTGCTTTGGTTTCCGTATTAATTCAAGGATCGTTAGGTGAGCTGACAAAAAGATTGACATTGGACTCTTTGTGAAACACAAAATATTATTATTGTTTATTTTTAAGAACAAGTGATATTTAGAAAATATAACATAACTTGTGACTGTGGTGTCCAACGCCACTCCTTAACAGTTATGTAACGGAAATGATGAGAGACAATAAGAGCACATGTATTTGTTGGTAAATCTACATTATGTTACAAATTGAGGAGAGTCCATATATTTCTTATTTGAAAAAGTTTTTGTAAATCACATTGGAAACACAGAAAGTTTACCTTTGTTGACAAATACAGGTGTCCGGCAAACTATGTGTTTCCTTCTAAACTGTTCACGATATCGAAATGCTGTTTTCGCTCATTAATGTGCAATGGGGCAAATAATATGCCTTATTGTTTGATATATTTTTAGATTCCAAGAAATTCATTCTGATTTTTAAATTGAATTTTTTCACCAGCAAGGCACAGATCATAAAAAGAGGAACGAGATGAGATATCATACGTTAGTATTGTTATAGTAATTTGAGTACAAAATTACAATTTCTAGCAGACTATTTCAAATTAAATAGAAAATATTTCCTGTAAGCAGCCCTTGCCGCTGTCGCCTTTTGTGGAAGGTGAAAGGCCAAGACTTGTAAATAATTAAGTATTATTTCGTAAATAGCCATTAGAATCAATTCAGTTATCAAAAAGGGTATAGGAATAAATATTGTTTACGAATAAATAATTGCTGATCATATTGACAGCATTGTTAAAAATCTGTGTGTATATTTTAGTAGGTAACAAAAACCCAATGATAGGAGAAAAAATGAAAGAGAGCCAGGTTCTCAAATAAATATAATAATATTTCGGTTACCTGTATAGAGGAGTCAATGCCATCATAAAATTTGAACCTCCCTACAAAAAGAAAACAGCTGTTCAGTGTCATAGATGTTAAGAGTAACGGACCACACAGGTCATATGCAGCGGAGGAACTCTAAATAGCGTTAAAAGTGGTGAAGCAATTCACTGTAATAAGACTGCAAGCAAGGATAATAAAATGCACCAGCCATTATGCCGCTTTTATGTTCTCGAGATAATCACTTTGAGCTATTTCTA